AAAATCGCTGTGGACCAATCTTAGGAACAACAACAATGAAAGCACAATATGTATTCAATGCCTTCTGCAGGACACGGTGGTAGGTGCCGCTCAGTAAAGAGGCTATCGCTTCATGAGTGAGAACCTCATTTCTCAAGGGGCGCTAATCTTTTTTCCCCATTAAATATCAACTTCTCTTCTTTGCTCTGAGACTACTGGTTCTCCAACAGCTCGCCCGGTCACTTCCTGCCCAGGGAGGGGCCTTTGGAGAAGCTACTGAACTTCCGGGCGGCATTTCCTCTCTGTGAGATGATGACAATAATATCGACTTCACCCTGGTGGTGATGAGGTTCATCCAAGGACACTCAGAAAGCACTTGGCAGGGCGCCTGGGTGGCTCAGTCGGTTAAGTGACTGCCTTCGGCTCAGGTCATGATCCTGGAGTCCCGGGATGAGTCCCGCATCGGGCTCCCTGCTCAGCCCGGAGTCTGCTTCTCCCTCTGACCCTCCTCCCTCTCATGCTCTCTGTCTCTCATTCTCTCTCTCTCAAATAAATAAATAAAATCTTTAAAAAAAAAAAAAAAGAAAGCACTTGGCAGATGGTTGGGCCCACAGGAGGGGTTTGATAAGTGCTCATTTCTTCTCTAATTGTATTTCTCACGGCGACCTCTTGGGCGATTAAACACATACAATAATGGTCTGTCACCGTAGAACATTTTTGAAACCTCTTTCTTGAACGTCTTTTGGGTTATTTATGGTGGCAGTGACTTGGAGGATTAGCAATGACAGCTGTTTTGCCTCCTTCTGGAGAAGAGTTTTTCCAACAGGTTGATTGCAAGGCACACTAGGAAATAGGTCTGGCCTCGTGATCTGCCCAGATCTATATGTATGTAACTAAAACAAAAGCTCTATGAAATAATACTTTTCCTTTCCTACAATGTGGTACATTCAGTTATCGTCTCTTTTATTATATTCTCTTTCTTGTTTTTAAAAGTACTAATCACAGCCCACTAAATTGATCTCAGCACCCATAAGTAGGTGATGAACTACACTTTGAACTACACAGTGCCAATATAAAAACCACTCGAAGCATGGTACGTGCCCTTGTAATGCAGATTCCTGGGCCTTAACCTCCAAGAGCTGGCATGGGGACAAGGAATCTGCATTTTCACAAATTCACCAAGAGATCCTGCTGCAGGTTGTTGGGAGGGTCCCACTTTGAGGAACTCTGTTCTAGAACCTTGGTGTACGGTAGGCTCTGTGAATCTAGAAATGACAGTTCTCCCATTTCAACCATGATGTAGGCTCAGCCTTCCATGCACATGCACGAGATATGACATCTGGAGTTTGGGCGGCAGGGGGGAAAGCTCACTTCGGCCCTTTCTGTTGGCAAGCTGAGTCATGAAGGCATTTGGCTTTTATACCTCTGGGTGGAACACGATGGTATCTTGGTGTCAAAAGGCAAGGTGTGGGGCACCTGTTCTGCTGGTGCGGATGTGGGTGGGTGTGGCAGATCGGGCACCTGCAGCGCTCGGGGCCACTTCCTGCTCAGGGTGGCTCCTCGTGGCATCATTGGCAGCCGTGGCCATGTGGTTTGGGAGCCAGCATTTCCCAGGCTTGACAAAAGTAGTTATGTGCTCCCTCAGAAGACTTGTTCCAGGGTCCGGTTTTAGGCATCACTCTTGAAAGCACAACCTGAAGTTTATTCTCCAACGTCCACTTCACACACCCATATTGAATGACTTGCTTGGACTGACTGGAGAGGATTTTGTCCTCTGCAACTGAGCCTGAAAGGATAGCTTAGCTACACAGCAAAATCAATTCGACCACATTATAAACGCAGCTTTTTTTTTTTCTTCTCAAATAGGTATCAGCTGCGTGACTTCTTCACTAGACTTGGTAGCCATCAAATAAAATAATAAAATAAAATAAACCTAAAAATCTGTCTTCAAAAGACAAATACTTCCTACCATCAAGATTTCCGATTAAAAATTGCTACAAAGATTTCTTAGCAATGCCAGCTTTGTTGGAACAACTGCATTGCCTCCAAAGGTGATCCTATTTAAAAAAACAAAAAACAAAAAACAACCCCCGCCCCCGGAAAAAAACCACACACACATTGGGATATAAGATTTCTGGCACAGTTTGTTAGGAAGTCAGTGCTCCTTCATCTGGTAGCGATGGGAGGCAATGGAAGTAAAACAGAGAGAGAAAACAGAGTATCCGTTTTCTTTTTTTTTTTAAAGATTTTATTTATTTCTTTGTGAGAGAGAGAGACAAAGAGTGCTAGCATGAGTGGGGAGGGGAGAAGGGCAGAGGGAGAGGGAGAAGCAGGCTTCCCACTGAGCAGGGAGTCATACTTGGGGTTTGATCCCAGGACCCTGGGATCATGACATGAGCTGAAGGCAAATGTTTAACCGACTGAGCCACCCAGGCGCCCCCAGAGTATCTGGTTTCAAGGAGCATGCAGACGGCCCAACCAAGTATTATGCTCACTGTGATAGGCATATGCACAAGGGCAGTTACTAGCCTTACTTGCATTTCACATGGTGCCCAGGCATTTTGTGCTCATATGGCCTGAATCCACAGCCTCACTCCTACAAACTGACATTTAGTGTGAACGCTTACTATCCATGTGTCCTCGGTAGTAATTACATCATGAGAATCCTGGGCAAAGGGCTTTTAGGGAGTTAGCCAGTTGAGATTAGTAGGTTTATACTGGGGCAATCTGTTTAATGGGGAGTTCGAGTATATGATAATAATATTAAATCAACCTTATTTCTAAAAATAAGAAAAAAATCAAATAAGTGCCTATAGTTAAAACACCAGTACTGATTAATATAATTTTTACTGTGCAGATTTATGAGGTTGATGGTGGTAAACATGCCCACTCTATTTTTGTCTTGGGAATTGAATTTTGGAAAAAAGGGAACTCAGTCCAAAGGCAAGTTGGTAGCCTGGTACTATGAAAGCATTGAAAAGGAGAAAAATGCCTTAATTGGCAAAAGTTTTGATAAGAGAGGCCACAAGAAAACAAGAGTCTTGGCTATCCCAGCTCATATGTTGTTTGAGCTCAGCAGGGAGGTGATCAAACAGATCTACATGACTTGCTCAAAGTCAGTGCAACTTGAAAAAAGTAAAGCTAGAATGTAACACTCAGTTAATCAAACTCTAAAATCTATATTTCCTACCATAATGCATTGCATTGTTGAGCTGGCAGGAATCTCAGAGAATAATACTTCTAATTAGGAAAATAATGCTCTAGCAAAGGAGTGATTCAATGCTAATCCAATACTGATGCACTTAACTTTTAGCTAATAGGGGTGACGTTTAAAGCTCTTCCTTTATATCATTGTAACACTTGTCAAAGAGAGATTCCCAATATTCTATTTTCTCTAAATCCCAGGGAATGGGTCACATCCTCCCTCTAACGTAGAGCAGAAGATCAGGAACTAAATGTCACAGATGGGACTTCTCAGTTTGTTCACAAACAACGCACATGGCATTGGGGAGAGAGTGAGGGCACTTGACCTTCATATCCTGTATCCATGAGGCAAGTAAAAGGACTGTGCAGTTTAATGGTACTTGGTTAAAGTGATTAAGTCATAGTCTGTCTATCCTTCCGTGGTCCACTGAAAAGAAAAAGAAGAAAGTATGGTAACTTTTGCATTTTCAGAAAGGAAGCCTGAAGACCAATCTGATCACGCTGTTCTCCACTCTCTGTGTGTATGTTTCTAACCAGGTTTTCATCTACCCAGTCATCCCTTCGGTCATTTGTCCATTCCTTCAGTAAACTTTTCTTGACTGCCTATTGTGGACCCAGCAATGTGCTGGAAGTTGAGGAAACAACGAATAAAATACATTTCTCACTCAAATCAAATAGGAATCATCACTACCCACAATAAACACGTATCGTGTAGGAGGCGCTGGGACTGGGTGGGTACTTCAGGGACATATAAGGAGGCGTGGCATGGCAGGGCCCTCGTCCTTCAAGGGTTCGGTTCATTGGCATAGTGATTAAGAGTTGTTCTCTGTTCCGGGAAGAAATCATTTTCAGATAGCCATGCACTTAAAAGGCTGAGTAACATTACGCAATGCTAAGTGCCAGTGGAGTGGTATGAAGTTTAAGTGCAACCAGCATTCCGGAGACGGGGAGATCACTCTTGGTCTGGGCAGGTGGGGAAGCTGTAAGAGTGGCATAATTGTGGTCAAAGCTAATAATAACTCTGTTATAAACCACAGCGTTGCAAGGACGACGGGATAATTTCTTTGAGAGAACAAAATCTTTTGGGTTTAAACTGACCTCATGGAAATAAATCTAGCACTTAAGAAGGAGTCTCAGGTTTCCTTTATGTCATAAGGGTTCATTTGTGGGTGACTGGTTCCCGAAAGCAGGAACTTGTCTGTATAGCTTGGAGTCATCCTGAACGGGAGAGATGAAAGTTTATGATTCTTCCAAAAATTATTCAATGTTAATTGTGTTTGGAACTTTTTAAATAAGGAAAACGACCCTAAACTGGATGGTTTAGATTATGTTATTTGGGAGAGGTTTTTCTCATGTAATTACTAGGTGTTAGCTCTATAATTATAAGGAGGACCTGAATTTTCTCCTTATCACTGACAATAACTCTCCTTCTGTATTGGAAAAAAATAGTTCTTTTTAAAATTTTCTCATTCCCAATTAAGCTATCAAAAGCTAATCCACACTCCACAAGTTAAAAAGAACATACAGATGAAAATATCATTGATGATGTGGGCATTTCTATAGCTTTATTTTAAAAGGTTTGCATCTCATAGCCTGTTAGTTTTAGAGAAACTTTAATAATTCGATACCAAATCTTATATTTATGTGGTTACATTCTAGATGGAAAATCAGATCCATGCTTAGTGAGAGTTTTAAATTTCACTGAAGTCCTTAGAACCATGTAGAGGTAACATGTGACTCTATTTGACTCAACTTCAACTAACAAAATAAGCTTGTAAGTTTGAGATACTGAATGACATGCCTCCCGATCTCTCTTGAATTCTCATAAAGAATACCGCAGGGTTTGGCCATAGATAAGAAGAACCAGAGGTTTCTTCCTTTCCAATAAGAACAACTTAAAAAAAAAAAATCTGAGTGAAATTAATTGTTGACTTTATTTTAATTAAAATATCTGGGAGTTAATAAGATAATGAGTTAATCTGTAAAACTCTAGAAGGCAAAATCCCAGGAAGGCAAACAGGAACCTAGTTTGACTTAACAGCAATTATCAACCTGAAGAAACACGCAAAACCGAGGTGCTGTTTTGGCGAAAAGGAAACAAAAAGATGTCAAAGCCTGGAGCCCACCCATGGTAGGGAGTCCCCATTTCCTCCCCAAATATATTACAATGGGATCCAAAGGCCTATACCCTCAGGCAAATGGAAAGCCAAAAATAAACTGGCCCTTGTGTAGATTTGCAGCCCAGGTTTCTATCACCTGGATGGTCCCAGGAACCACAAGTGTTGAACTTGGACTAAGCAGGTCCCTTACCTGTAATGTTCCAGGAATAGATAAAAAAATATTCCCCAGAGAAAAGTTCCATCATCTCAGACATCAGTCATTCCTAAATTATTTTTCAAGTACAATGACCAACATACGGTCAAATATGATCAGTCACATAAACAAGGTAACCTGAATGAGAATAAGCAGAAGTAACAGACAATAGAATCAGAGCACAAAAATTTCAAATTAGAATTATAAAATGCATGTACTATAAAATATGTTTCTTTTTTTTAAGATTTTATTTATTTATTTGATAGAAGAGAAAAAGAGCGAGAGAGAGCAGGAGGGGATGGGCAGAGGGAGAGAGAGAAGCAGACTCCTTGCTGAGCAGAGAGCCTGATGCGAGGCTGGATCCCGGGACCCCAAGATCATGACCTGAGCCAAAGGCAGACGCTTAACCGACTGAGCTACCCAGGTGCCCCAATATCTGTGTTTCTTATGTTTAGAAAAAAATAAACATAGATCTCCAGAGAATGAGAAACTACCAAAAGGCCATGGGCACTGCCAAATTCTTTGTAAAAACAAACAAACAAACAAACAAAATGCCTTCAAATCCCTCCACATTCTGGCAGCATTGTACCTTCTCCACGTAAGAGCCTGGAGAGCCCAAGTAAAAAGTGGCAGGACCAGTCCTATGAAAAATGAGGACCTCCTTGCCTCTGCCTGGGCCTTGGCTTGGGTCCTAAGTTGTCCTCTAGGAATAGCTTATCTACCCCATCTCCCCGTCCTTTTTTTAAAGTGGATTTGGATAAGAATATTTATACTTTTTTGATCACAATTCAGGTAAACCAAGGATATCCACTCGCAGTGCTAAATCAGCAACAGATTGTTCTTCGTGAAGGAATATCTTGCCAAATGTGAAGGGGAAAAAAACTTACCCGACTGAGTGCATTCTTATTCCTGTATTTGCTGCAAAAATGAGAAAAATTCTACCAGCTTTCATAGCAACAACTGTTTACCTTAACTCCTTCGCTTTCATGTCACTCAAAGGTGTAGACACTGGGATGCACCTCCCAGATCTCTCTTCAAGAACAAAAGACCTAATCCTACAGGGAGTGTTTCAGACAAACTGCTGTTGGCTGTTCACCCCCATTGGGATTGCCTCAGCTGAAAAGAGGCCCCCACCCTAAAGGCCCCATCTCCTTCCTGGGAAGCCCATATCCAATAACTAATCAACAGGGCTATAGAGTATGTTCCCTCCTCCTGCAGGGGGCACCCCTCTGAACACGATCCCATCTTCAGAATTCACTACAGGGATGACTGTGTCTTCCACTGAGATATCCAATCTAGCATCCAAGTTCAACTGCTCCCTATGCCCAATCCTGTTTTCTTCTATTTTCTTCTACAGGTGTCAATCCCAAGAGCATTCCTTCAGAAACCTCCTACACACTAATCTCTGTGTTCATGTCTGCTATCCAGGGACCCAGCCTGTGACACTGAATGCTCACTGATGTGAACCTTGTACCTTATTGGGGTTCAAACATTTCTTCTTCAGAGGTGCTCTAATTGTAAGAATTTTATCTAAGCCACAGGAAATATACTCTATTCTTTCTGCCAATCTGGACAATGTTCAGGAAATTTCTTGGAAATCACTCTGCGAGAAGCATCATGATTTAGTACGCATCCTACCAAACTCATTTCTTGGTTCTTCTCATATTTGACAGTGACTTCAGGGAAACAGCAAAGTCCTGATTCTTATAAGTAGAAGCTAGTGCCATTCCTAATCACAGCTAAGAACACTGAATTGATTCAAAGAATTGGCATTTTTGGTTTCTTAAGAATCCAGTCTTTTTCTCTTAATGAGTGCCAGTAGTATCTATAGCTGGTTGGAAATTGTAGGAATAGCTCTAAAATAGGCACACTGCAGACAAACTATCAGTCATCTTGTGGAGATGCTTGATTCTGTGACCCCTGGGAGGGGGAGGGGGAGCCACTGTCTGATCAGGTTGCCTTAATTAAAATCACTATGTGACTATGGGGGTTGCTAGAAGCAAAGTTTTTTTCATCTTCCTCCATCTACTCCATCCTCCGAAGGACTGAAAATAGAATCTGATTAAATTATTCTGTTTTTGAGGACAAATACACACCCATAGCATTTTTTTCCAGCTTTATTGAAGTACAATTGACAAAATTATAAGATATTTAAGGTGTGCACCCCGATGATCCGATATATGTGTACATTGTGAAAGGGTACCTCCATCAAGCTCACTAAGCCATCTATCACTTCACACATTTAGCTTCTCTTTTGGGGGGGGGTGAGAACATTTAAGTTGTGTTCTCTCAGCAAATTTCAATTATACAATAGAGTTCTATCAACTTTGGTCACCATGTTATACATTAGATTCTCAGACCTTATTCATATTATGACTGAAGGCCTGTTCCCTTTTGTTAGGCCTGTAGCACTTTGAGGTTAATATTGATGCAGCCAGGCTGGGTCCAAGAACCCAGAGTGGGGTTCTTACAGGACCAGCCAAGAGGGTCCTTGGCTTTGAGAAGTATAGAAAACAAACTCAAGCTGAGAGGAAGTAAGAGCAGAGTTTACTGAAGACAGAGAGTGAGTGTAGATATGGACAGAGGGCCAGGGAGACTCAGAAAGAAAAGAAGCATGAGTCTCATCTTTGCCTGGGGCCTGGAGTTTTTATTGAGGAGGGTGGTCTGGTGCACGTGTCTTCTCAGTAATCCAGGAACAAAGACAGAGGAGTATTTAGGTGTTCTCCATAAATCACTTATTACCTGGAGCAAGGGGTCTTGATGAGTCAGGGGTCTTGGAAAACATTCCTGATGACCCTGCCCAGTCACTCCTTAGATGGTCTCTACTGTGTTGAAAGATTCCAAAGAAATCATTAAATCCTTGACCTTCACAAGGAGGACATACATTGTCTGTTCTATAAGGTGTATGTAAGGCAGGTGTGTAGGTCCTAGCAAAAATAGAAGCAAGAAAAGGAGTGAAAAAAGCAGTTTTTCATGGGGTCCCTTTAGTTTCCCTGTCTGAGTATCATCAAGCAGATACCTCATCAATGGCCATCATTCTTAACACTTAACCCGTTTGCACTTGCCCCTCCAGATCGATCTAAATACAATTTCTTGGCATTAGGTTCTTTTTCAGTTTTGCAAATGAGTTTTATTTTTGTGACACGGATGACATCCAGGGACATCTATTTTTAACAAGAAAAATAGACACATTAAAAACAAACAAAGCTGGGATACTTTTTGGGTTTGGGTGTGGAGAGAGGAGCACTGGGAAAGTTTAACTGACTGGCCTATTTCACTGGCTTCAGTGAAATGTAGGTGTTTAGGGTTAAGAATTATTTCCATGGATTTATTTCCCTTTAAATGCTTGAATGGGTTTGGAGAGGGATGGGGTTAAAGGAGAACCGGGAACTAGGAGGTTAAAGGCTTTGGGTGAAGACAACCAACAATGAAAAGCAGTTAATTCTGCATTAAAATTAAATAGGATTCTGAAAGTTCCCCTGCAGATTGGTTACTTGGAACCCAGAGTCTTGGGAAAAGAGACTTGCCCCAGGCTGCCAATCAAAGGAAGAAGAAAGCCCCAGGAAGGCTTAGCACTTTCCTGCAATGGATGTGAGGGATGAAAGTCAATTAGGGTTTTAAATGATCAAAGTGGCTAGCACTCTCTTGACAGACCCCAAAATAGCAACACTATTTCCTCAAATTCCAGCACAGAGGCTGTTTGCACAGCAACTGTCAGTGAGCCCTGTATCTCGGATGACCCGTCCTCTCCCCAGGCAGCACCCCCAGTGGGGCCAGGTCCTCACTCCAGAGCTGGGTGGGGACAGAGCTGCAGAGCTTGAGACACGCAGAATTTGAGACATGCGCCACTTAGCCTTTCACTGCTGGGTTTCTCTTTCATGAGAAGGCAAGGAAAATAAGAGAAGGGGCTGGCAGAGGTGAAAAGGAACTTCTCTGAGGGGACAGTCTGACCCGGATGTCTGTAACCCCAGGAGGGCTTTGGCCCATACACTGTACAGAAGAGAATCGGGCTGATGGGCTGAAAATTCGTTTCTATTTTGACTTTGCCTCAGAATATCAAAACATTCACTTTCTCTTGATGTAAGACAGCGTTGAGAAGACTTTCCGTCAGGCAATATTTATAAACTGCTTAATTTCCTTGTATTTGGAGATGAAAGAAATCTTCATTACCTTGATAGCTATCATTTGGAAACGTTCTTGGGACCTCAGGGGCTTGGGTGCTTGATGGCCATAAAACTTCAAAGAAGAGAGTACAGCTGGCCTGCATTGAGCTTCCCTTTTTGCTTTGGAGATGAAGAGGGAAGATAAGAAGACAAGGGAAGAAAGGGAAGGGGAAGGTATCAGGAACACAGAGCAAAACGGAGAGATGACACCAGGGTGGAAGTGTCCGGTCATGGCCCGCAGAGGCCAGTGAAGAGGGCTGGGGCTGATTCCCGCCACAAATTCCTTGCCTTGCTGGGTCATGACTCCATTTCTACTCCAAAATCATCAATCAAGACTTTTCAGCTCCTATTTCCTTTTTAGGGGAACTCAGAAAAGGGGCGGTTGTTTCCTGGCAAGGTATAGCACTGAGCCAACAGGCAGAGAGAGAACTGGGCTCACAGGATTTCACAGGATTCTTAGGGGGCTCTAGGCTTCCACCAGCTCTGGATTCGGGAGAGTAGGGTTGAGTTCAGCTGAGCTGGATTCTCCAGGAGGCAGGGGCCCACTAGACAACTTCCGGGTCATACAGATGAAAGAAAATAACATACCATTTGGTAAAACCAACAGTAGGATCCAGAATACAAAAGAACACTCTCTTCCTCTTTCAATATATTTGGTTTTGCAGCACCATCAATGCCGGACCCTGCATGGGACAAACGCAGAAGGATACTGACCCTCCTCCCAAGTAAGGCAGGCATGTGAATATATGGATACCCTACAAGAAGATCATTACTCTAACAGTGCTACAGCCGAAGGTGGTGTTCATGGGTGGGAAGGAGGAACTTTGAGGAGTGCAGGTCATGCCTCTATCAGGTGTGAAGAAATCACTGCAGTGTCATCTGCCTAAAGACTTCCCCCTTGAGGGGTCAAGTCTCCTTAGAATAGGGTTTGCTAAGACCTTGTGGTTAGAAGTCTCCTTTCTATGGGGTTGCAGCTTTCTGAGTGTCTCCTTCAGGGACTTTATGCCCTGTGAAAAATTTTCTATTATTTCTGTGGAAGTGACTTCTTATGAAAAATAATAATAACAAAGGAAGATGTTGTGTGACTCATTGGTTGCCACGTGAAGGGGAAAACAAAGAAAATATTGCATAGAAAGTGACTGCAAATGGCCCCTTGGCCACAGATGTGGGACTTCTAGAGGAATCAGAAGAGGATTTCTTCCCGGTCAGGTGGGTCCACAGTGCTGGTCAGCCCATGTGACCTGGAGCACCTCATCATTATGGAAATTCTGAGTTGGGGAACTTGGGCATTTATGGATTTTTTTTTTCTTTCTATTCTTCTAATACCTATGCTATGCGTACTTTGGCTTTAGAAGATGTTTGACATAATTTTTGTGTTGGCTTGTTGTGTGCTCTCGTGAGAAGACAGGAGTCGGCGTCAAAAGTCCCAGATTTGAATCTTGACATTTTTTACCAACTAGCTGTACGAACTCAAGCACACCACCACTTTGTAAATGTCAGTGTCTTCATCTATAAAACGGGCTGCTGATAACACCTAACTTTTTTTTTTTAAAGATTTTATTTATTTATTTGAGAGAGAGAGAATGAGAGAGAGCACATGAGAGGGGGGAAGGTCAGAGGGAGGAGCAGACTCCCTGCCGAGCAGGGAGCCCGATGCGGGACTCGATCCCGGGACTCCAGGATCATGACCTGAGCCGAAGGCAGTCGCTTAACCAACTGAGCCACCCAGGCGCCCAACACCTAACTTTTTAAAAAGTCTTCCTCAGGCTCAACTCAAAGTGCTATATAACTGGCAGTCTTTATTTTTTTTTTTTAAGATTTTATTTATTTATTTGACAGAGAGAGAGAGACAGCGAGAGCAGGAACACAAGCAGGGGGAGCGGGAGAGGGAGAAGCAGGCTTCCCGCTGAGTGTGGAGCCCGACGCGGGGCTCGATCCCAGGACCCCGGGATCATGACCTGAGCTGAAGGCAGACGCTTAACTGACTGAGCCACCCAGCACCCAACTGGCAGTCTTTAAATCAAGCCTCTCAGAAACTTGGGAGAGCAGTTTGTAGCGTCTCACTTAGGCTTATAACACTTCTCTTATTGCTTACACTTACTACAATTCTAACTTTTCAAACCTTTTTTCTACTGAGTGCACTGTACTCCATGCGCAGGTCTGTTGTCTCACTTATTCTCACCACCACACCATGGATTTGGCACTATCATCCTCCCATTTTACAACTGGGAACACTGAGGCTTGAAGTTAAGATCACCGGCTCGGAGCTGCATAGCCTGACCCAGAGCCCATACCCTGGAGCCTCCTCGGGAAAGTAGCCACTCATTTCTGTCACGGGGCTCCCACGGAAGCTCTCCTCCCCGCCTCCTCCGGGTAGAGACCTGGTGCCCTCCGGCTTGGAGAGACGGGTGGAAGGTGCTCAGCGCCATCCTCTCACTGACATTTGCTATGTCCCTGGCATCTCTAGTTTCAGAAATCTCTGAGTGCCGTCACGTGAGGCTCTCTGGGGAACACACTCCCTGCAGAACCTGGAGCTTCCTCCAGTGTTTGGAAAGTTTTGCATGATGAATGGTATCATTGGTCTTTCTGGGCTTGGTGCTAGAGCTCCTTGTGTTTATACGACAAGGGATGATGAGCTGCCTGGCTCCTCCCCAGCTGGCAGCCCCGGCAGCCACTTCTCACACCTAATTGGAGCCTGGAACAACACAGCCCAGGCTCTCCAAGCCCAGTCATTGCCATTCACTGCCAAAGGATGAAAAACCCTCTGACCTGCCTCCTGATTGTTTTCAAATTAAAAGGTACTTTGGGGACAACTGAAATTCCCCCAAGTGCTTGTCTGAACGATTCTGGCAGCTTTTCCTAAAGTGCTCTGGCTCCCAGAGCAACCCCCCAGCCTCGGACTTTCCAACCAGCTCAAGCCCACACCCTGCCCACTTTCTGAGCTCATCCTCTGAGCACTGCACCAGCTCTTGGCCTGCTAGGGGCCCCCTCCCGCCCCTCAGAGCTGGTACCTTTGCCCCAGGTTGACTTCTAGAAAGAGAGAGCCGGGTGAAGTTTCCTAGAATGTGCTTTGGGCTTTGGAGTAAGCACTTCCCAGGGCCCCCAAATGGGCAGCACACCGGTGAGCACGGGAAATGATGTGCCTCGGGGGCTACTTCTAGGCCTTTCTGCCAGCGAGCAGCCTCGCTGATTGAGAGACGTCGCTTTCACAGAACCCTTAGGGGTTTCCTCCCGGCCTCGAGGAGCATATCCATAGACAGTCAGAGCTGAGACCAGAGACGAGCACTAGGGAGCACCGAATCCAACCTCAAATGAGGCCGATGGATATGAGTGAGTGACCTGGTGTTTAACAATGAGTTCGTGGCAGAACTGGGACTAAGGTCTGGGCCTCATGTGGCCCAGGATGTGCTCCGTCACCACGCTTACCTTCCACACCTCGCTCTATGTTCCACGTACTATCCATCTTACCTTTTTCTCAAGGGAGTCCCAACAGACCAGACAACAGCTGGAATGGAGACCTCCTCCTGCCCTGAGTGTGGGGTTCACAAAACAGTCACCGTTTCCATAGCCTGGTCAAGAGCTCCTGAAGAAGAAGCCAAAACCCAGTCCTGGTTGAGGGATTCCAGAATCTGAGAGGTGGGAAGGTTGAGGGGCAGGAGGTCCTCACCAGCTATTATATCCATCCCAGGACTCAGATTCTTGCCTTTCCCATGCAAAGACCCCTAAGAGAGACAGCACAAAGAGGAAGAGAGAAAACACCTACACCAGCCTGGGGGAAACTTGATTTAGAAATAAAGTGTGTTTGTGTCTTTTTAACACCACTATAGTTGGATTCTGACTCATTTTATAATATGGGTATTCATTCAATACTTTTAAAGTTTAAAAACAAATGAGAGGGAGTTCTGGTTCTGGTCTGGCATGCACAAAGCTTAAAAGTTGTCATTCCATCCTAACAGTGAGTAAAGAGTTAAACATACTGAAAAATCAGCAACTCTTCTTAGATCTGTTGAAAAAGTGAGGTCACAGAGCAAACCAATGCTCCCCAAATTGAAGAGAGGCAGAGAGGCAATTACAGAGAATGTCAACTACTGGAGCAGAAGCCCATGAGCAGAAACCTCTGTGGGGGGAAAACCTGGGCTGTCGGTGATGATCGTCGAAGGCTAGCAGTGGACAAGTCTGAGAGCTAAATACTCCAGGGGGATCCAGCTATGTGGGGGGGGGGGTCCCAAGCTTCTGTGAGTTTTACCTCTAGGAGTTCTACGAGGTTCTCACAATGATGTTGAGGAAAATCCCCTCATGCTTCCAGCAGGAGTCAGGAAACAGGCACCATTTTGAAATAATCCAGAGCATTCTGTTCTTCTAACAAGACATGCCCTGTGAAACTATTTAACCAGAGCCTAACTTGCCAGGGTTTTGTCAGGGCCTAACCCACCTGCCAGAAGGAAAATACCCAACTCCAGTCATGGGACCACAAAATGCTTTTCCTCCCCCACACCTTACCATGACATGATGAAAGGCCTGCTTGCCACAGTTCCTTTTTATCCAGTACATCATGTTCACCTGTCAACAAAAAATTACAAGACATACTAAAAGGCAGAAAACATAGTTTGAAGAGACTGAACAAGCAATAGAACCAGGGTCAGATATGGCAAGGATGTTGGACTTATTCACACCAGGAATTTTTTCAAACTATGATTAATAGGCTAAGGGCTTTAATGGATAAAATAGACAACATGTAAGAACAGAAAGATCATGTAAGAAGAAATGTGGAGATTCTAAGAAAAAAATAAAAAGAAACACTAGAGATCAAAATCACTGAAACAGAGATGAAGCGTGCCTTTGAGGGGCTTGTCAGTAGACTGAAATTGGCTAAGGAAAGAAACTCTAAGACAAAAAAAACTTCCAAAACTGAAAAACAAAGAGAAAAAGGACTAAAAAAAAAGAAAGAAAGAAAGAGAGGAAAAGAAGAGAAAAGGGAAAGGAAGGAAACTCAGAACCAAATATCCCAGGACTGTGGGAAAACTAAGAAAAGGTGTAACACAGGCATAACAGGAATACCATAAGATGAAGAAAGAGGAAAAAAAAAAAAGAAGAAGAAAAATATTTGAAGCAATAATGACTAAGAAATACCTCCAAATTAATAGTAGACACCCAACCACAGACCCAGAAAGCTCAGAGAACACCACTCAGGATAAATGGCAAAAAATAACAAACAAACAAACAAACAAAAAACACAAAAAAACCTATGCTTAGGCATATCATAGTCAAATATCAGAAAATCAAAGAGAGAGAAAAAAAAAATCTTGAAAGAAGCCAGAGGGAAAGAACACCTTACCTCTGAGCAAAAAAATATGAACTACATCTGACTTACCAGAAACTGTACAAGCAAGAAAGCAGAATGAAATATTTAAAGTGTTTTGAGGAAAAGAAAAACCACACCAACTTAGAATTCCGCACCCTACAAAGTCATCCTTCAAAAGCAAAGGAGAAATAAAAACTTTTTCACACAAATAAAAAATGAGGGAATTTTTGCCAATAGATCTGGCTCTCGAGAAATGTTAAAAGTTCTTTCAAGAGAGGAAACTGACAGAGGTCAGAAACTCAGATCTGCATAAAGAAAAAAAGGGCACTGGAGTAGAAATAACCTAATGTGAAGCTCTGGTGTAGGATACAGACAGTGGGGGAGGTTGCACACGTGTAGATATGGTGGCACGTGGAAACTCTGTATCTTCTGCTCCATTTTGCTGTGACCCTAAAAAGGCTGTAAAAAATAAAGTGTATTGATTTTTTTAAAAAATGAAACTTTAATTTGTTTTATGAAACTCAGTCTATGGGTGGTTAGCATGTGGGCCTTTATTTATACTCACTCTAACTGTATGAAAAGAATGCTAACTTGTTAAATAATATGTTTTTAGGAACAGGGAATGAGGAGCTCTATGAGAAGAGAACTTAGCTAGTTCCTTCTTTTCCTCTTCTCTCCTCTCTTAGAGCCAGCAATCACAGCAATTCCATGGCCCACTATTTGATGGAACCCTCCATAAAGACTTGGCTTAGACTCCATCCTAAAGCTCTTCTCTTTGCCAACATGAGCTTTCATCTTGTCTATCCTCAAAGCAAACTCGGGCTGAAAGTCATTCCAAGCTCTGATGCATCCGGATTATAGAACGGTTTAAAGGAATTTCTTGATTGTTCAAAATTTGGAAGAACCTATTCCATAATGGAGATTGCTTCTTTTAAATAAAAAGAAACAACTTTAATTGCATACCACCTGGTTTCAGAGAAGATTTAAACCAAAAATTAGAGTGGTCAGGAAAACCAGTATGTGCTTGGGTCCAATTTAGGACAAGACAATTAATGCCAAATTATTATATTCTTCAAAAATCCCAAGAATCAACATTGTGAGCCACTTAAGGGAGGAAAAAAATGTGAAAACAGAGGGGTAAAAGTCAGTTGATCCAAAATAAAAAGTAATGAATTGGAAAATAAGCAACTAGAATGGTTCAGATTAATGCCTTCCCAAACTTTTCTTCTCAACTAAATACAGATGATACCAAGAAAAAAAAAAAAAAAGAAAAAGGAGCTAAAAAGAAAATTAAAACCATTTGGCAGGAAGTATTTCCCTAAGCAACAAAAGATGAGGCGTTCCTAAACTAAAAATGCTAGAGCTGTTCAAGAATGAGCAGCTTTTGGGGCAGAGAGATCAGAAGGGAGATCACTCTTCCAAAAAGGAATATTTCCTCACTCTAACTTGTCCATGGCCATGCACCCTTTGCTCACCAGGCTTTATGTTCCTAACAGCTCTGCAAATTTCAGGACAAGCCAATCTATGTCCAGAAGACCCAGTTCGTGTTGATTCCAGTACCGTTTCTGTCCTTGAAATCCAGGAACCCCAAACGCCAAGTTCAATTCTTTTCTGATTTCACTTGATCTGGCAACTCTCTTCTGAAACTAAAAAAACAAAATTCAAAGAAAGGTGGGTGTGGTAGACACTGGTGCTTTTCACTCATATTTCCAACTCTTCTCCTCTGGGCATGATTAAGATTACCCTTCCCTGCCTTCCTAATGTTAGACATAGCATGTGGTCTGCTTTGACCAATGACAAGGAAATGGAAGTGATGTGTATGTCTTCCAGGTGGGAGTCTTTAAGGGTTTGCCAGTGATTATCCCGCGTCTTGCTGTCTTCAGCAATGTTGCAGTTAGCGGAGGCCCGGCCAGCCTTGCCCCCTGAGTACACGTGTGAGACAGAGGCCCCACTGAAGGGCAATGGACAGAATGCCTGAGTGAGAAATGAACCTTGTTCTAAGCCATTGAGAATTTAGGGTTGTTTCCTTCCATAGCATACCCCAAACCATGTTGTTTAGAATAACTGATAATTCGGGCCACAGTAACTAAGATCCAAAAATATTTCAGAGAGATATTCTGTTTTTAAGGAAACTTTTTTTTTTTTTTAGAAGAAATGGACATTTTCCAACTTACTTACTGAGGGCCCTGAAAAGTCAACCATCCTTGAAATGTGACTCACTTACTACAGATGTTGTCGGAGTAAATGTTTATGACACCAGCTAGTCTTGTGAGATATCATACACATGATTAAACATCACATGCCTAATTTATCCTGAATCTTATGTGCAATCTTAAGTCATTTTGTTTTCAAAGTGCTTTTCTGATCTTTTGTAATCGGTACTAAAGCTGCCTCAATATAAGAATAGCTACTTATACTTCAATCTATAAACATGAAAATATAAAAATGGCCAGATATTTTTACTTAAACTAGTTCAACCTAAAATTAACCAAATCCCTTTAGAAAGTTAATTACTATAAATAGTTGAGGGTAAAGATATTAAAAAAATGAAGGGAATTTTGGCACCACCTGGTTTCAGAGAAGATTTAACCAAAAATTAGAGTGGTCGGGAAAACCAGTATGTGCTTGGGTCCAATTTAGGACAAGACAATTAATGCCAAATTATTATATTCTTCAAAAATCCCAAGAATCAACATTGTGAGCCACTTAAGGGAGGAAAAAAATGTGAAAACAGAGGGGTAAAAGTCAGTTGATCCCAAATAAATGCCACCCACGTTAAATTCCAGATTTGTTTACTTAGGTTCAATTTAGAATTAATTTCGTATTTCTTAAAAGCGATTTCTAATATTCAGTCAAGAATAAGTTGGAGTATTTAATTTGTTATCATATCAAAGTGACCTTAATTTTGGACAAATATTTGGCAAGCAGGAGTCTGAGCGTGGTGAGCTGTTGTGTTGATTTTCATGTTTTTAAGCAACGAATTCAGAGTCAATCTGTATTTTAACACATGCATTTGAGACTAATGCTAACGTTTACAAACTCGGGTTCAGTTCCATCCCTCTGGGAGATAATCCAACGTGCACTTTTAAGTTCAATGTAAATTACAAGTAGCACGTGTTGCCTTGTACTCATCTCTACCAGGCATCTTCTGGAAACCAATGCAATCAATATAGCATGAAATAAATCATTCCTGAAGAAATGGAATTCATATAAAATAGCTTTTGCTCCCCAGAGATTTTTTTGTTAAGAGAGACATGATTTAGATAGGCAGCTATGATTTTGCTTTGGGCCAGGCCTGATTATCTGTGTGTTTCTGAGCACTTTCCAGAAAACAGCAGAACCAGATGACAAAATCAGTTCCCCTGGGGCTCAGCTGACTCAGGACATCTCTATATCGATGTCCCAAGGTAATTTGTCCTCAAATGAACTCATCATCTTCCTTTTAAAACCATGGTTTTATAGTCCCCTTCAGCCTTTTTTTTTTTTTTTTTTTTTTTTGCCTCTCACATCCGGGAATTCACGGGTTCCAGTGTTTCCCCCTTGCCTCTTGTCCTACCCTTGCCCTGTGCTGTCTGGCCCTCGCCTCCCTAAAGGTCTTCCTGCCTCCAGTATCTCCCTTCTCCAGCCCCTGTTTCCACTGCCACCAAACTAATCTCTGTAAAACACAAGTCGGATTATGCTACTCTCACCTCAGAAATGTTGTGATTCCTGTGTTATCTTTTGTTTGCCTCTAAAGACCCACTCTACCCTTCTCCCTCTGTTGTGCCCCAAGGGCCAACCTGTATGGACAGGATCAGTGAACTCTCCTGCCTTTTGGACAATGGTTCAGTTTTGAAAATGTGGAACCCTGGAGGAGGACAGTGAGGTTAGGGGATGGATTTCCTGGCTTCCTCCTTGTTCATTGACATAAGGCAGCCGCATCCCTCAAACCTTCCCCACATACCTGAATCTGAGTGTGCCACATACTCTATACTTCTTTGATCCCTGCTTTTGTTTTTCTTTTCTTCCCCTATAGTCTGAAATCTTTTCATTATCTTTATTGCAATCATTTTCATTTAATCCTGCATTAGCCTTTGCATCAGATATATCTGATACCAAGAGGCTCGCAGAACCACAAGGTGAAGGAAGCCAAGAGCCTTGCATTACAGCTTGGAGACAGAACCACTCAATGATCAGGAATTCCCCTTACAGACTTCACATGAATGAGAAATAAAGTACTACCACTTTATGTGGATTTATTTGCTTCAATCACTAGCATTACCTTATTAATTAAGTATAATTCTTTTAGAAAATAAAAAAAATTTCTATTCCTCAATGAGATTCCCAAGTGAGTCATTAAAGTAAGTCATAAACATAGAGGTGAAAGAGCCATGATTACTAGGATCTGAAGGAGTTCCCAGAAAATACGTTGCCTACTGTGATAGTTTCCTGGGTTGGTAAAGAAAGAAAACACAGGAGCCCTGGTGTTTCTGGACTTGTTCAAGTCATTTGACAAAATTTCACATATTCTTTTGCTTAACAGGGAAAATTATTCACAAAAGAAAAATGAAATTGAGTGGATTATTACTTACTAAAAAGGTGCTGGTTAATAATAGATTAGAATCAACCCAAAGGAGGTTTTCCAGTGGTGGCCGGGCTTGGTTCTTTATTATAACCAGGCAAACATTTTTATTAGTTATTTAGATAAAGCAAAAGAGGGCTTGGGCTTGTTTTTTTTGTTTTTTTTTTTGTTTGTTTGTTTTTTAATTTTCTCACATTAAACAATGGCCTGCTGAATGAAATAAGCCAGGCAGAGAAAGACAAATATTGCATGGTATCCCTTATATATCAAATTTGGAAAAAAAAAAAAGTCAAACTCATAGAAATAGAGTAGAATATTGTGGTTATTGGGGGCAGCAGGGTGGAAAAATGGAGAGGGGTTGGTAAAAGGATACACAGTTTCAGTTATAAGTAAGTTCTGAGGATCTAATGTAAATGCGGTGATTATAGTTAATAATAGTGTAGTGTCTTATTGAAATTTGCTAAGAGAAAAGAACTTCAGTTTTCTCACAAGCACACCCAAAAATACTTGAGGTGAGAGATGTGTTGACTCCTTGGTGGGAATGTATACATATATCATCACATTGTACACTTTAAATATATTGCAATTTTGTTAATTATACCTCAGTAAAGCTAGGGGAAAAAAAACAATAGCCTGAATCTAACAGATACAATTTTATAAGATAAATTGAAATTCTGACATTTGGACAAACGCACGCAAATTCATACACACACACAATATGTGACTAAAGAATAAGGAAGCCGTGGGTCAGCTGAGTTGGCACTTTACATGAGGCTATATGTTAAACCATGGCTCCTAGAGGTTAAGAAACTTGCCAAAGCTGGGAGCGAGCAGTCGGCTCTGGAATCAGACAGAGTAGAGTCCCTTTTCTTCTGCACTTATAAGACGATACAGAGGTATTTCTATTTTGGGCAGCATACTTTGAGGTGTAGGAAAGTAAAGCTTCTTGGTGGAGAAGGACCAGGATAACATTGGATCTGAAGACCCGTTTCACAGAAATGTTTCAAAGACTAGGACACAGGGACCCTGGAGGCAAGAAGACTCAGAGAACTTGGTCTCCACCTTCCAGTGTTCCAAGGATTGCCAAGAGGGAGACGAGTTAGAATAATTCTGTGCTACCTCCTGTCCCCCACGCTGGGTTTCTTGGGCAATAGAGAGAAGCTACAGGTGATTAATTTCAACTCAATATCAGGAAGGGCTTTCTATGAGAGTTGTTGAAAGCCAGAGAAGGTGGGCCTGTGCAAACAAGTAGGGAATCTCTCTGGGCAGTTGACTTCGGGTCATTCTTCAAGGCCCTCTCAGGGTCTGAGAGACTTTAGTTCTTGTTCACTGTGCTGAACTTGGGTAACTTGGGAAACATGCAAGCCAGCTGACAGACACTGCATGTCTTTTACATGGTGACTCTGTTGGCTTTGCCAGGAGATAACTTAGGAGGCAAATAAAATACTATCTTAGAGATTAGCATTTGTGTTTGTAGAAGGAATGACTCTATGAACCCAGCCCAGCATTTATTGAACAACTCCTGTGAGCCAGGGACCGTGCCTGCTCACCACACCCTCTACCTCCCTCCTACCTGTTCCTTTCTTCCCTTCCCACAAAATGCAGAACTTCTGTTACTTCCTTTGGGAAATGATCATTCTAGTCAAGAAAAAAAATACTGTTTTTGTTTTCCGTTTCTCTTCAAGAAGTTTGACTGAACTAAAACTCCCCAGTCAGTTTTCATGCTTCATTATGACTGGTGTTGACAGTAATAATAGATTAATTTTTTTCACCCTCCAGAGAAGAGCTGCAAGAGAATTAAAATGGGGAGGGCTGCTGAGGAAGGTTTTTCTTTGTTGAACTGGGTCCGGAATTAGGCAGGGAGGGCAGGGCAACAGAAAACAGAACAACGGAAAAAAGAGCCATCACATCTTTAGTCGGGGTTTGGATGGGGTTGCTGCTAGGAAACTTCTGAGAGAGAAAATAGTAGTCTGGACACTCACACACACAAATCCAAATTTAATAATCACCAGGAACACTGGACTTTGAACAGAACGTGCACATTGTAGAAAAAGTAGACTAGTGGTTTTCAAGTGTCCATTTGTCCAAAATAGATCAACGGAACCCATTTTGGCTGAATAGGGTCTCTAGAGCCCCTCTGGGAAACTCTAGGGATCTTTAGACACAGTTTGAAAACCATGACACTGAATAAGTCCAGATGAGTGTAGGGTAAATTCTACCCAATGGATGACAGTTCTTGGGTTCATTTATTACTTAGCAGAGTTCTCTTCTAGGCTCTCCAAGTATAGCATAGGCTATTGTGAAAGATGGTCAGTGGCTACCAGTTCTGTATTCTCAGTTTTCATGGACAGCACTCCAGTCCTTGTCTTCATTATTGCCAATACCCATCAACCTCTCCCCACCTCTGGTCTCTGTCACCTCTGGTGCACACTGAATATAGGAAAAGACGAATTGTTTTCCTTAAGCATTTTTGGCCATTATCTTGCTCAAGAATCTACAGCGGTACCTTATTATGACTACCTTATTCAAGCTTCCACCCATCCCCACCCTCATCCTCATGCAATCTCTGTTGCAACCCAGTGTCTTCTCTTACCTTCAGGCCTTCACACAGGCTGTTCCTGCCTGAAACACTCTCTGTAGACTCTCCCCCATCCCTTCTTCCTTGGCTAACTCTTGGAGCTCATCCTCATGCATCATTTCCTTTGGGAAGTCTAGGGACATAGGTGCCCCTCATGTGTACTCCCATATCATTCCATGGCTTCTCTATCAAAAGCAATTTAATTTAGTGTTTTTAGGGCTACTTATTAATCTGTATCCCCCACTAAACTAAACAACAAGAAAACAATGTCTACACCTTGGTTACTCTTGTACCCCCAAATTCCTGGCAGTGTAAGATTTGCTGAGTGATTGAATGAATTCAACATAAATATTTGTTGAACGAGTGAATTTAAAAAAATGAATAAATGACGGTTGGTAGAAGAGTTGATAGATTGTGCTTTTGTAGAGGTGTGTGGTCCTTTGTGCTGCCCCTTCAGGTGGTCTTTCAGTAGTGATCCCCACAATTTGGGGGTCCGCCTAGTCTATTTGGGCTACTATAACAAAATACACAGACTGGGTCATGTATAAAAGACAGAAATGTATTTCTCACAGTCCTGGAGGCTAGCAGTCTGAGATGAGGGCATCAGCCTGGCCAGATGAGGGCCCTCTTCTGGGTCACAGAATTCTCACTTTTTCTTCACTTGGTGGGAGGGCTAGGGAGCCTCTTTTATAAAGCGTTAAGCCCATTCAAAATCTCTCGTGACCTAAGCACCTCCTGAAGTTCCCATCTCCTGATACCATCATCGTCGGGGGGCGGGGCGGGAGGGTGGATTTCAACATATGAATTTTGAGGGGATACAAATGTTCAAACCGTAGCACCTACCAAGTGAATATTAGTTTTCTCTCGTCCTAAATAGGAAAGCATGGCAGGGGCCATGAGCCTTTTGGAAACGAGGCTTTCTGAGTGAGGAGGGGGAGGCTGTTGACCATCTGTGGGGACGAGAAAAGGAATTCAGGAGGCAAGCTCCCAGGCGGCTATCGCTGTTGGTGAGACAAACCATAGAGGAACTGGAAAAATGACTTTCGTCCTCCTTCTGCTGGTTGCCACTGGGATGTCTCCAGCCATTTGGCCTTATCTTGCTACCCAGAACCACCCTACTTTGCTCTTGAAGGAAGCAAGGGCCAAAGAAGCCGAAGGACTTGCCAAGAGTCTCAAAAATAGTGGCAGAGCCAGGCCGAGAACCTGATTCTTGGAGCAATACTCTCTGTCACCCGTTATTTCCTCCCAGCTGCTGTCTGAAAGCCTTTAGTTCCGATTTACTAACCCAAAGTTATGTGTGCAATGTTTCCTGCCCAGGGCTCATGGCCCCCGACCTTTGATGTTGTAAAAGCAAGAGGCCGAGGATGGGCATTTCCTCCTGACCAGCAATTCCCGAAGAGCAAAGCTGTTCTAGTGGGGAGGGGGGTGCGGATGAGGGGGCAAAAGCCAGGGTAAGCAAAACCAAGGGAAACTGCAAGAAATCTATCCCCACATACGTTCTTTTGCTCCTGGGGCTTCAGTGACAACTTCACTTTTTTATTTTGAGACTCAACGGAAAATGTGGCCTGGAATGGGGGACGGGGCGGGGGGGGGGGGGGAGCGGTTTGCACATGAATGCACATAAAACATGGGATATTTATTAGATTCCTACAGTAAAGACTGAAAGACCCACACCCACTCAAACCCCACTCACCACCTCATCCTGTGCCTTCGTTTGTGGAGCAGGGGGCTGTGGGGGCCTCCAAATACCAATCTTTCTGAGCTTAGAGTCAAGTGGCAACATCCCTGCAGAGGACTCCTCCAAAATGTTTCCTTGCCAAGATCCTGATTTGAAAAACGGACGCATCAGAGCTTGTTCTGTTTATTGCGTGATAAGAGATGCAGGTTCATCCTCGGCATTCTCTTTGAGCTATTTCTTACTTTGCAAGATTTTGTAAGTTCCGAGGAGTGGGAACTTGCCAGCAAGAAGAGCTCCATTTCTGGCCATGCATATCATGATTCAGGTTTCCTCAAGGGATTCAGCTCTTAACTGGTAACTGGCTATGAATTGGGAGGAGAAATGAATAGTTAGGGAAGTGGCAACGGCCTTAAATGAGCCCTCAACATACACGAGCAACTGGGTTCTCGTCCCTCATTTCTTTGGCCCCTTCATTTATTCACTCAAACAATAGTGTCTCGGGCATCAGGCAGGTTGCCATCTAGCAGGAGAGATATTAAAAACGCAATTCAGTATTGCACAATGTATGTCTGCCGTGCTTGTAACACAAGCAACAGAAAAGATGGCTCCATCAGGCCCAAACAGGGAAGGAAGTCAATTGTCTCACATGATTGAAAACTCCCTGAGGGGGTTTGCCTCAGGAAGCTCCCTCTCCGTGGCTCCGTCCCCGGGCTCCCTAACCATGCCTCCCCCTTTTGTCTTCTGGGGCCTTGGCTGCCCTCCTTCACAGTCTGAAGATGACCAGTGTCACATGCTTCCTTGTTCAGATCCAGCCAAAAAGAGATAGCGACTTTGCCCCAGTGCTTGTGGAAAGGGTCCTAGGACTCGGTCTGGTTCAGGAGTGGCACTCGGGGCCTAAACTGAGCGAATCAATCCCATGATCAGGAGATGGTCACGTGCTCCACTGAGGAGGCAGGTGTGGGCAGCACAGGAATCCCTAAATGGAACTGAGCGTGTGGAAAAGGAAAAAAGATAGACCAAGAAATGTCCATTTCAGAGAAAGGGCTTAGGGGGGTGCTAATAGGGCGCAGAAAGGTCTTCCTCCGCCTGGGCAAGCCCAAGGGGTTCTACAGGAAGGAGCCATGTGAAGGGAAGGAATTTGGATTGATCAACCCCTGGGAGGCATTCCTAGTATACAAAAGCCAGAAGCTTCCCTTAGTTAAAAAATGATGAATGTATGGAATTAATGTCCAAAGATAAAAAGTCCAGGAGCAGACTTTATGCCAGGATTCAAGAAGCTGTGTGTTGGGAGCTCGTATCTGTGTCTTAAATGCTCAGAAAAGAAGATGAAAATATTTGAATGTGCCTGAAGAGAACTGTTTATAAGAAGGCTCTGGTTCCAAGGACCGTGGAATACTCGACCGTTTCATCAAGATGAGACCAGGCTCGGTTCCCATGAATCTGGCCTTGAATCAGCTCCACCAGTCGCCCAGTGTGGCCCTGGGAGAGTCACTTAACCTTACCGCTTAACCTCTTCATCTTTAAAATTTGGAGACCAGCACTTCCCTTCCTGAGTGATTATAAAAAGCAGAAATAACACCTCAAACAGCCCGCATGAAGCTCCCGTTAAGCAACCGGGACTCTTGTGACTCAAATGGAGTCACCTTTCCGGGAAGATGTAAGGCCAGAAGAGGAATGTGCACTTTCTGGAAGAGGCTGGCTTCAGACAGGATCAAAGCGCAAACAAACAATTGACGGGAATGGTATTAGGGACATGTTGCTGTCACTGGCGTCCCCGCTCAGATTCCAGCCATGTTCCCCCTGCATTCTCATACCTGGGCATTGCCGACAGAAGGTCCCCCATCCCGGGACCTAAGGCTCTAGTCCAGGGGAATAAAGTCTGTCACACAAGCTTGGTTCAAGTTAATAGACTCACATTGGAGAGGAAAGGGGTGACAAGCACCACACTTTATCTGAACTCAGGACATTTCTGGTCTTGCCCCCAGTGGCTATGTCCTAAAGGAGAAGAGACAGAAGGAAACAAGAGCATGACCGTGCCAGGAGCCCCAGTGGGCAGCGTTTGGATGGAGACACGGGAGGGAGTCATGGTGACTTCTGGCTGGGGTTGGGGTGAAAATGGCTGGAACCCCAAATGGCGAGAGCTTGTGCCAGGACCACCTCAGCCCAATCTGGACAGAAGAAGAATGGGAGAGAGGCATCACAGTAAGTGGACAGGAGAGAGAGACAGAGACGCGTGCCAACAGCTACAGCAGCAGGGGACACGTTTCGTGGCTCTGCAGCATATGGCTATTACAGCTCAGGGGCATGGGTGTCCTCAGTGGAAATGGATGCATCGTGGCCCAACACACACGGCGACAGGGAGCCAGCTGAGTGCAGGGGTCACATGGCAGCTGCGAGGATCACGCAGGAGAGCACACATGGCCAGCCCTGGGGATCCCCATGAACAGCCGGAGGGGTGGGGGCGCCGGCCTTCTGCAGTGCTGACTAAGGGCAGGGCCACGCTGTGTGGCGTCACTCTGTTTGTGCCCCAGAGTGGTGTGGCCAAGGAAACGGGGTGACACAAATCCACCACTCCCCACCCCCACACCCAGCACTACGTGGTCACTTCGGTGCCAACTGAAATCACCGGGGGAATCTGTATTTTATTGTGCCTTCAAGAAACCATGATTCAATGCTGTTACAGCTTTGCCTTTTGCCAGAGATAATTAAAAATGTTTTCATCTAGGGCGCCTGGGTGGCTCAGTCAGTTAAGCGTCTGCCTTCGGCTCAGGTCATGATCCCAGGGTCCTGGGATCGAGCCCCACATCGGGCTCCCTGCTCCGCGGGAAGCCTGCTTCTCCCTCTCCCACTCCCCCTGCTTGTGTTCCCTTTCTCTCTGTGTGTCTCTCTGTCAAACAAGTAAATAAAATCTTAAAAAAAATTAGTAGGGCTTTTAATTGAAAAAGTCCTTGTATAGGGGCGCATGGGTGGCTCAGTCATTAAGCATCTGCTTTTGGCTCGGGTCATGATCCCAGGGTCCTGGGATCGAGGCCCCACATCAGGCTCCCTGCTCCGCGGGAAGCCTGCTTCTCCCTCTCCCACTCCCCCTGCTTGTGTTCCCTCTCTCGCTGTGTCTCTCTCTGTCAAATAAATAAATAAAATCTTAAAAAAAAAATGTTTTCATCTATACTATAAAAATTACTATAATGACAGTTTTTATTACGCTTTCAAACCTTATGTAAACGATTCTCCTAATTACTTTCTCATATATGCAAGGAATGGTTCTCTGTCGCATTGAACAAGCACACATCTTTGCTTCCTTTTCTTTCTTTTTTTTTTAAATGAGAGCTAAATAATTTATTAAATTTTTCTTTTGCCTTGGCCACTAGGACAGTAAGAGTGAAATGTAGTGCCCAGTTGGAGGAACTTGGGTGTAGACAGATTTTTATGGTAAAACTCCTCCCACCCCTCTAGTCTTCAACATGTCTCATGTTTTGGGTGTTTTAGTTATCAATGTCATTTTTACTATAATTTTATGTTGATTTGTCTTTCTGGTCATTCACATAAGTATTTGTTGGAAGTAATTGGAATTTACTTTAAAAATGTTTAATTGTTGAGAAAATGTGTAAAAATTTAATCTTTCCCAGAACAGAGAACTCTTTCTTTTAAACCTCCTATCTTTTAGGCACTCAGAGTTGAAAATAATGCTGCCTTTTCTTCAATATATTTTCATCTGAGGCAATTCTTTGTTCTGCCAAACAGATTTATTTTCTTTATCACACAAAAATGTGAGCAAAAGAAAATGATCCCATTGCATATGATTCCTGACATAATACCCAGGACTCCAGACTGCAATAAAATTTGGTTTTACAAATGACTTAAAAAACCTTTTTGGTTTTGAACACCTGTTCAAAGAAACCATGTTTGAAAGTGCCCACTGTCGTTAATTCCTTAGTGGCCCTACAGACATGCTCTTGTCTTGATCTTTATGTTCGTATTGAATAGTGAAGGGCTGGTACTCAGGTTCCTGTCCCTGCTTTTATTTAAAAAGAAAAAAAAAAGGCTGTATTAAATGATAACACTTACTTATTAGAGTCAGTAAGTTTATATTTATAGAAACGGGCACACAAATTGGCGTACAAAGAGCTTTCATTAAGTGAACACACCCATAGAACCACAACCAACATCAAGAAATAAAATTTAGGGGCGCCTGGGTGGCTCAGTCATTAAGCGTCTGCCTTCGGCTCAGGTCATGATCCCAGGGTCCTGGGATCGAGCCCCGCATCGGGCTCCCTGCTCGCCAGGAAGCCTGCTTCTCCCTCTCCCACTCCCCCTGCTTGTGTTCCCTCTCTCCCTGTGTCTCTGTAAAATAAATTAATAAAATCATTAAATAAAAAAAAAGAAATAAAATTTACCAGCCCACCCCAGTAGTTGACTTCTTGCCCTTCTCCAGCCTCTACACACCTCCAGAAAGTAAGCATAACCCTATTCTCTGACACCACTGATAATTGTTTTGCTTGTATTTAAAGTCTGTATAAATATGATCATTCTGTGTATACTTTTCTGAGTACTTTTTATGAGATTCAGCCTTGTTACCACATACAGCAATTATTTATTTTTATTGGTCTGTACCAGTATTTCCTTATGTAAGATACCACAAGTCAGGTACCCATTCTACTGTTGATTCCCACTTGGGTTGTTTAAAGTTTCTGGCTCTCCTAGATAATACTGCTATGAATATTCTTAGATAATGTCTTTTAGTGAACATATGTATGGATTTCTTTTGTGGATATACCTAGTTGTTCTAGGTCATACGTTTAGTAGATACTAGAAAACATATTTCTAGTAGATATTAGGAAGGGACTGTGCCAATTTATACCCTCATTAGCAGTATATGAGAGTTCCAGTTGTTCCACATCCTTGCCAACACTTGTTATCATCAGTCTCTGAAATGTAAGACATTCTGGTGATAACTAATGAAGTTGAACTCTCATCTTGTGTTTATTGGCCATCTGGATATGCTTCTTTTATTAAGTGCTGTTAAAGTCTTTTGTCCATTCTTTTGGCTTACAACAACATCATGAAGATACTCTCCTATGTTTTCTTTAGAAGCTTTATTTACTTACTTACTTATGCATTTATGTTGACAGTCTATATGGAATTGTGTATGGGGTATAGGTTAAGATTTATTTTTCCCATGTCCATATACAATTGACCCAGGATGATTTATTACAGACTATCCTTTTGCCACTGCACTGCAGTGTTACTTTTGTCATAAAATCCACTGTTCATGTATGTGTGGATTTGTTTCTGTACTTTTTTAAAAAGATACACTTACTTATTTTAGAGAAAGAGAAAGGGTATGAGCAGGGCTAGGGACAGGGGGAAAGTGAGAGGAAGAGGGAGAGAATCTCAAACAGACTCAATCCCACAACCCTGATATCATGACCTGAGCCAAAATCAAGAGTAGGATGCCCAACTGACTGAGCCACCCAGGTGCCCCATGTTTCTATACTTTTTAATACGACCCATTGTTCTATGTGTCTTCTATTCACCAAGTATTATGATTTTGAGTTGGAACATTGGTCTGTAACTGATACTCTGGAATGCCTGACTGTAGGTTGCCTGTAGCCTTGGCATAAAGTTCTGAGAAAGTGAAACCAACTAATGCAGAAAATCCAGTCTGAATATTACAAGCAGAAAGAATAGTGGAGATTATTTAATCTAATTTCCTTGCTTTTGAAATGAGAATATAGTTCTACCCAAATGCACTGGTTATCTTTTATTTACCCAGCCACATCCAGTCTCCATCCTTCTTCACTTGCTATGCCCCTGGAGGTCCCCACATCAATGGGCTCTCTCACTTTCTGATTTCCACACAGTTCAGCTTATGGGGAACATTGATTTGAGGACAGAGGAAAGTGAGGTCAGATATTTATTCCCTTAGTGATCTCTGTGTGAGCTATCTGATTCTGTCCATGAAAAATTATGGCTCCTGATGGGTGGCTCTCTCCACACAGCCCTCTTCTTCTAGGTACAAATAACTACTCATTTCTTTTGTTCCAGGCCTGGGGTATCAATAGTATCCCACTGTTACTAGCCACATTGGGATTCTGACACTGCATGACTAGAGACGTCCATGTTCCAGACAGAAAAAAAAAAGAGTTAAAGGGGGCACATGCCACCCATGTCTCAATGGAGGTTCCTAAAAGCTGCCACATGACACCTGTGCTCACATTTCATTGGCCGGGACTTGCTTGTTTGGCCACAGTAAGCTGTAAAACCAAGAAATGTTCTCAATAGCTAAAGGTCAAACTAAAACTCTTACAAGCTGAGAATATCACAGGGGATAGTGAGCAGTTTCTACCACCCATGCCATTTAATTTAAGTCTAGTCATTAAACATGCATTCAGTCACTCTGGACCACTTCACAGTTCTGAGATACAGAAATGAATAATGCATGGCCTTGGTCTAGTCCAGCACAGGAGAGAGGTGCTGTCCTCCAACAAATAACCACGTTGGTCCCCATGCTAGGCATTCAGGATTCAAGAGTGCACAAGACAATGTCCTTGCCTTCAGACAGATGACCATGAAGATGTACCTCTGTTATAGCTCTTAGTCAATACCAGGTACCCTGGGAAGATGTGGTGGGAAGTAGAAGAGGAGAACTGTTCTCTGAAGGAAGACACAAGTTTACCAAGTGGACAAGGAGGAGACAGACTTTCTAGGCTCAGAAGCAGCATGAGAAAGACACAGGGCATGAAAGTACAGTGTTTTAAGGGAGCAGCAAAGATTCCTGGAGCCTAAGAACGTAACCTGCATGGAAGAGAGTGGGTAAAGAATGAGGCTGGATGAGTCCACGGTGGCCCAGCAAGGGAGGACCCTGTGTGCCAAGCACAGGCATTTGATGAATCCCTCCACTCACTCCACCTGTCAATTTCTTCTGCTGTACATGCCATGGAAGGCTTCCAATAAGACACAAATGAATGCTAATATCATATCAGGGAGTACATCAAGTTCAAGCCCAAGTTACATCCCTCAGGAAATTTACCAGAGATCTGAATCTTGGAATTTCAGCCTCCTTCTTGGCTTGAACAATCTCATGGAATTCTAGAATAACTTAGTTGGGCTGACTTATTCCCAAGCTTGAGTTGAAAGGTAAGCAGGAGAGAGGAGGGGATCAGAGGACACTCGCTCCCACTCATTGTTTAGAATGGCTCCAAATGGTTTGTTCTGCAGTAAAAACAAGCATTTAAAATGAAAATAGTATGCTCTCCCCCTTCTGTCAGATATGTCCTGAAAAAGAAGAGGGGGAGAAAGAATGACTGTAAAGAAACCATTGCACGTTATGTGAGCAGCTACTATGTGCCAGACACTCTTCTAAGGTGATGGGGCCATCGTGGGGAGCAGGACAGAGTCCTTGCTGTTCCTAAAGAGTTCATGTGCTAGCCGAAGGAAAAAACTTTTTAATGTACTTAGTATCTAAAGTAGTAACTTCAAGGACCGATAGACTCCATCAAGAAGATAATACGGTAGCATGACTGAAGACTATTTAGTTAGGGGATGAAGTTCTTTCTAATAAGTGGTATTTGAGTTAAGACCTTGTATTAATTTCCTATTGCTGCTGTAACAAATTACCAGAAACTCGGTGACTTAAAACAACAAGGCAAATTTATTACCTCACCATTCTGGAGGTCAGAAGTCCAACATGGGTGTCATTGGGCGACAGTCATCAAATCATCAGCAGGGTTCTAGGAAGAACCCATTTCCTTGTCTTTTCTAGCTTTTAGAGGCTGCCTGCATTCCTTAACCGTGGCCCTCTTCCCCTGATTCCAAAGCCCGTACCTTCAAATCTCTGATTCTGATACTCACTCTCCTATTTCTTTCCTTCACCTATAAAGAC